CAAAAACAATAACATCTTGAAATCTGCAGGCAAATGGATGGAACTAGAAGAAGAAATATCTTTTAAAGGAAGTAGACTTTGGCACCTTCGGGGGACAAGAGAGGGAAGTGGAGGTTTGAAATGGCAGGTTGCTTGATCAGTGAAATCCTGGAATATCTGCCCACAGCTTCTAGGAAATTGTTTTCCAGAATATGTGTAGAAATGACTGGTCCCAGGGTTGAAATGGTAGTGAATATAGATACAAAATTTCTATTTGACATACTTCCAGGAATATCATGGTTCTCTGATGTTAACACAGTTGAGCCTGTGGGAGGAAGGGGGTAAGAAGACTAATTGTCAGGAGGAGCCTCAGTACGTAGTCAGAAAGGAATCTACTGATTTGGAATGGCTTGTAAAGGCAAGTTTGGAGACAGGAGTTCACCTGGAAACCTTCAGATTTTCTGGTCAGGAAAGATATCCATCATAAGAGAAGACAGACAGAGCAAGTAGAAGATGATGTCAAAGCTGGAGACCAAGCACTGTAAAACATAGACCGGCTGCCACCAAACCTGATAACCTGAGTGCAATCCCTAGGTCCCACACAGTGGAAGGAGAGAACGGACTCTGCAAGCTGTCCTCGGACTACAAGTACGGCATAGTGAGTACACACAGACACAGTGAGTAAATAAATGAATTAGTAAGTAAACAAAAATAATAAAAAATTAAAATATATGACTAGAAACATCAAATTCTGGGCTGTTGGTCTCAGAAGGATGTTGATTTGCCCAATTAATAACTTCTGAAGCTCTACACTATTGAATCTTCAGTTGTCTAAGTGGTGTTAATTGTGTTTGTGTTCAGAAATAATAGGAACCTACTAGGCATGAAGAGGAGTTTAAACTGTGGTACAGTCCTGTTTAGGAGGCCAGGAATCACACTATCATTTTAGGAAGATCCTAAACAACAACAAAAATGTTTCTTTTTCTTTTCTTTCTCATTAGCTGAAAGTGGTCTTGGGGTCACTATGTAGCCTTGGACTTCTGATCCTCCTGCCTCTACTTCTTACGTGTTGGGGTTACAGGCATGTGCCACCAAGTCTTTTATAAAACAGGGCTGGGAATCAAACTCAGAGCTTTGTGCCTACCAACTAAGCATACTACTTAGGTACATCCCCAGTCCTAAAAATATTTTCATTCAGGATGAAATTTGAGAAGATTTCACACAGAGAATATTGTATGAAACAGGATAAAAGACAGACCAAATTGTCTATGTGTAAAGTTGAATGCATACATTAAGCACACACATATACCTCTGCTTAGGATGGGATTACTTCCTGGTGGATCATCCTGTCCTAAAATAAAAAGAAACAATGTGTTTAATCTCCCAACAGCATCATAAATCAGCTGCACAATGCTCTATGGGAAAACATCTGGTTTCCCTCACGGTTCCATGAGCCGGAGAGGTGCGGCAAGACTATTGTAATGCCTGTCACTAGCCCAGGACATGATCCAAATTCAAATCCAAAGCCCTGTTTCTGATGAGTGCCTATCACTTTATTACTATAATAAAGCCTCATAGTCATAAAGTGAAACACACACCAGGGACCATCTGCAGTATCTAAGCATGTTACAGATGGCTTGGCTGGAAGATGATGATAGTATTTCCTATCTGCTTTTCTACAAGTTGACCATTGTGATGAGACTTCATGGTCTTGTCAGCAATTCATTGTAGCTTACCAAAGTAGAACATGGAGGTGTAAAACCTCTTCGATAAGTGAATTAAGCCTTGATACATTTTTAACCTAAGAAGTTTCCTTTGAGAACCACATGTCCATGGATGGTGAGTATGAAGCATCTACAGTCAGCCCATACTGTCATGCAGTTAATATGTCAGCTTTGCCATAAGTTCCAGATCTCTTTCTCCTTCATCTTGGGAACACCAATCACTTGAAAAACCAGCTTCATGGATGGTTTTAAGTGGGTGGTTTTTGTCGTTGTTGTTTGTTTTCTTGAATCAATTGTACTGCTTTGGTTTCCTCTCTCATATCTCATATTTCAACTGTCCTCTTCAAGTCTTTGAATTGGCTTTTGTACGTGAGTGAGTCACTTACATTTTCTGGTGACACAGGTATTCTGAAGGCCTTTGCTGTGGTTTCTCTCTGTGATCTGGTGACTTTTGGTTTTCCAGCCACATGAATGACTGACTGCTCTGAGCAAGAGAAACTTACTGGAGAAATAACAAAGGCTCAGGGAATCAGCAGATGGCTACAGCTCAGATTTGCACATAGGTGGGTGCCTATGCAGAGGCTGGGAAATGAGAACCAAGGTGCAGAAAGGAGTCAGAATGGCCAGGTTACTGGTAGAATGAGGCACAGCACCCTATTCCAGGAGTTCAGGCAAGGCTGGATGTCTGGTCCACTCTTGGTAGGAAGGATGTGGCCTCCAGCTATGGTTCACTGGACTCCATTCCTATTGACATAAAATTCCTAAGAAGAAATGAGCTGGGAACATGGTTCAGTGGGTAGACTGCTGGTTTGGCATACACAAGGCCGTGGTTCGATCCCTAGCACTGCATAAACCAGGAGTGCATACACAGACCTGTTATCGCAGCACTCAGGAGCTAGAAATAGGAGGATCCTATTTCAGGGTAATCTTCCTCTACATAGTGAACTTGAGGCTACATTAAACCCTGTCTCAAAAAAAGAGGCATACAGAGGGAGAAAGGAGGGCAGTTTGGGAAAAGAAATTGTTGTTAAAGTGTTCACAGTTGTAGTGCCTAGCATCTTGAAAGTTGTTCCCAGCTGAAGAAATGAATTTTGTTCCTAGAAGAGTCCACAGAGTCACATTCCCTCCTGTGAATGCCATCAAACAATGAACCATACTGTGACAGGCAGGAAGAGAGTATTTATGAGCACCGGTGGGCTATGTGGCTGCATGCATCTACTGCTGTTCAAGAGAATTATCACATAGTATCTTAAAACAGCACCCATGTGCTATCTACTTCAGTGCACCGGGCGCCTGGTATGGCCCAGGGTCCTCTGCTTGGTGTCCAAGGCTTCAGTTTAGGTGACAGTTGGGACTGTGATCCATTTGAGGCTCCCACATGGAATAGCCTTGCCAGCTTTCTATTGCTGTGACAAAATATCTCAGAAAAGAAAATGGAAAGGAAGATATTGTGACCAACAGCTTCAGAGGGCCCTGTAAACTGTTTTGTTTTTTTTGGAGGGGGGGCGCTGTATGAGGTCAAGCTGCTCACCACATAACAGCCCTGAAGCAAGGATTGCCAAAGGGGCCAGGACCAGATGTGCCTTTCAAAGGCTGCATTCCCCACAAGTGAATTACCTTCTCTAACTAGGCCCCACTTGCTAAGGTTCCTCCTGTTTCATCAACAGTTTAATCGTTCATGCTCTAGCCCACCTGCTAGAGGTCCCCACCTCTGAACACTGCAGTACTGGGGACCGAACCTTCATTCAACACATCAGCCCTTGGGGACCTCTCATACTCTGCTCTCCAGTCAGGTTGTTGGCAGAATTCAGTGCTTTGTGGCTACAGGTAGAATTAGAGTTGTTTCTTTCTGGTTGTGATAGCTGTCGGCTACCTTTAACTCCAAGACGCTGCCCATACTTCTTTGTAGTGAAGTCTTCAAAACCAGCAAGTGGGAAAGATTCTAGATGTGAACTAGTCTGACATAATCATATACACATGCACAAGATTATACACACCCCATTCTGTTATGGTGTCTTAGCAATTGGAAGCAAGGCACAGGACCTACTCAGACTCAAGGCTAAGTGTATAAATACCAGGAGGTGGTGATCGGGGTAGCTCTACAACTCTTGAGCGACACAACTGAGATTCCATTCCTAGAGCTGAACCGACAACACCTAACAAAAACATCCTTTTTGTTCCTGGGGATCTGATTTTCACAGGGAGGTCCTTCACATGGAGGACTGATGACAAGTACAGAACAGGGTGTTGCTTTCCATCCTGTCACATGGGCCACCAAGGGCAATTTAAAGAGCCCCACCTCCTAGGAGCTCATGTCTGTCTGGGTTGGTGTCTGTGCTATGTACGCAGTTAAGTCTAATGGCTTCTGGTCAATTATTTCCTTCAAATCTGTTGGTAAGAACTCTAGTGAATGTAAATGCTTTCTGGATTTATATCTTTCTCAAGTATGCTCTCAAGTGCTGTAAGCAGGGGGCCATTTTTTTTTTTTTTTTTTTTTTTTTTTTGCAGGACCATGTGCAAGTTCTGGAGATAGAAAATCAAAGGTGATTTTCTCAGAGGAAATTCCTTACACTTGGTTCTCTGGTGCTGAGGAAGAAGGCTCTCTAAGTCAACCGGAAAAATCTGTCATCTTTCCTGTGCTAAGTCATACAAACAATGCATACTTAAAGGGGGGTAACTGTATGAATGTTCAGAACAGCTCAGAATCTCCCACAGCTGGACAGTTTCACCCACTGTTGGATGGGAAGGTTGAGTCCTGGCTCCTAGCATGCAACTGAAGTGTCCTATAGTTCCTGACATCAGCAGAAATGAAGGAGATATAATGTTCTTGAAAGAGCCCAGCCACAGGAGGCTCTTAACTTCTCAACAGGCAGTTTGTCTCCTAACAGCTCGAGAAGAAGCACACTGGACATACCATAGCTTATTCTTTCTACTGGAGCTCACTGGGGATATAGTGCGTGGTAGTTCCCTGACTAGTTCCTTCCCTAGAGCTGGATCACAGAAAATGGCTGGCACTCCTCTCTGCGGAGCAGGCCTGGAGTGGGTGCTGAACAGAGCCAGGGTGGCCTTAGCTCCTCCTGCCTTCCATCTGCTTTCTCGGCCTCTCATCATCATGTGGTTCACTGTTCTAGCAATGCTTAAGGACCATGGTAGGGAGAGCTGGGAGAATGAGGAAACTTCCTGTGAACTCAAGTATCCAAGAGAGCCCTTCCCAAGAAACTGCCCCTGAGATTATTAGGTAAATTATCATTTCCACCCAACAGTGAGTGTCCTAAGTGGCCCAATGAAAATGTTAACTACATTTGAGAAGAGTTTTAATTTCAACAACTTATGATTAAAAATACATTTTATAAATAATTTTTTCCATAGACTTGATTGAGGAGGGTTGTAAACTCTACAAAAAGACAGACTGCAACAGCAAAGGATTAAAGAAATTACAAAAAAATAGAGCTATCGCCTCCCTATGTAAAAATACATTATACATCACACAGCATTTCCTTTGTGCAAAAGTTTGAGCAGGTGCTGTGTTAGGTAAGTCAAACATTTACTGAAAGGGAAGTAAACTTTAATAAAGTTACTTTGCATAATAATACAGGCACAGGTGAAAAAAAAAGAATCTTCCCCCCCTAGAAGTTAATGTACCTTAGTTCAACATTTTACTTTATAGTACTGAAGGCTGAATTTGGCCTTGTACAAATGTGTGTGTGTGTACGTGTGCACGCGCCATGTGTGCACATGCTTAAGCATGACAAAATATCTGCTGGGATATTGAGTAAAACCCCAAAGTATTTACAGTATTTTCAAAGGTGGTGTTCTCTCAATCTGTATGTCTACATCATCTCATTAAATAGCTCTTTAGAAAATTAAATTAAACCACCATCTTCTGTCAATCAGTGAACATCCTCAGTTGAGACTTCCAGTTTACGCTGTGGGACAAAGAGGGTTCCAAAGGAGGTTTTGTTAGCACCATCGAAATCCATGTAGAGTGAGCTGGTAGGCTTGGTTGGTCCACCTGGGGTACGGAAGAAACTTTCAGCCACCAACTGGGAGCCTTTGGGTGTCACAGGAACAGGCTGATTGGAGAGAGCAAAGGAAAAAAGGGATCAGACCAAAGGCGACCCATGCTCCCCAGAAGACTCAAGACAGGGCCTGATGACTGACATGTTGGGATAGCCTGATATCAGCAAGGTGAGCCTCAAGGTCCATTGAACTCTCAACTATTGCTGCTAAGAAGAGGAGACAAAGCCTCATGACAACCCAGTAATATGGACTCCTTGGACATTCTTCTTGGGCCTGGAAGGAAGGCTTGCCTTCATTCATTCACCCTGTCATACTTCCCTTTCCAATGAAGGAAACAGGAGCCTCTTATGGTACAGTTGACTTGGTAATTAAATTAAATGGCAATGCCAGCCCTTTGGAGGCAGGAGGATCAAAATGTCAAGGTCATCCTCAAGTTTTAGGCCCATTTAAAAATTAAATACAAATATTCTTACCTGTTGTGGCCCTGTCCCAGCAACTGATTGTCCATTTAGTTGGCTCTGGCCCAGGATTGGCGACTCATGGCTGCTGGTCCTCCCTTGCCGAGAGCTCAAGTTATCTGGTATGACACTAGCTGCTTCCACACGTGGGGACATGGGGACCGTGCCAGCTCCCGTCCCGGGGCTGGCAGACATCTGCACACTGGGGGAGATGAGTCCCAGGTGCTGCAGGGTAAAGTTTACAATGGCCGAGCTTGGGTTCTGGGCAGGAACAGGGTGGCTTGAGTTGAGAGCCGGGCTGTTCCCAACAGGTACGGCTGCCACAGACGTTGGGGAGACCATAAGTTTCAAAGGTGTCACATGAAAAGAGGGGAAGTTCATAGCAGTGAGCTCGGATGATGCCACCGGGATGACACCTGGAAGAAAAGGGGGAGGGGGCGGGGCTAAGTCTTAAAAGCAGACATTTGTTCAGGAAGCTGACAATCCAACTGCAGAATGTCTGAATGGCATCTGCCATCTACTCACCTGCAATTGGGGAGCCGTAGATCCTGCGGTTTGGGGAAAGTGTACCTGAGTTTTCTGTCTTAGACAACATGGATTCTGCCCCCAGGGATGAGCACTGGGTGAGAGGGATTAAGTACCCTGATGGGAACAGAGTCTACAAAATAAGGGAAAAAAAAACATTTATTTTACACATATCCCCTTCCAGAACCACCTCTTGGCTATTTTTCTAGAGCAGTTTAGGCCGCAGGCAGTCTAGCCACCCAGCTAGCCCAGGCTAGCCTTGAACTCTGGGTCCTCTCTGCATTAGGGAGACTTCTTGAGGGTCAGCCAGCAGGTCATCTTCACACTGACATCTGATGGGGGAAGTCCTTCTGTGTGCATGTTTGTCTTATTGGTTGATAAATAAAGCACTGTTGGCCAACAGGGAAGCAAGATAGGTGGGACTAGGAGTTGAGGAGGAGTCTGGGAAATGTAGTAAAGAGTGGGAGCTGCCATGTGATCCTGGGAAGAGAGGATGCGTCAGGATGGTGTCGTCGTAAAGATAAGACCTTATAGAAATATATATCAGTAGTCATGGGTTAATACTTAAGACAGAACCAGAACTAGCCAACGAGAAGCCCTGGATGTTGGCCAACAGCATTGTAATAGAGTCTCTGTGTGTTATTTGGGGTTGACGCGGCTCTGGGACCAGGCTGGCGGGAAGAATACTTGTTACAGACACCCCTACTCCTGCAACCAGATTTCCTGACATGATGGAGAACTACTGGAGCAAAGTTTAACATGATAAACACCACATATGATCCTGCTGGGTCATTAGTGGGCTGCTCTTTAGTTTTGAAGGCTATTATTCCCCTAAGAGTATTCTGAGGGACCCTGATTCCTGGGGATATGAACAGGCACTACTTGAGTCATGGCCAAATAGGCTTTGGAAAAACTTATGAAAAATGTCTTTACTGAAGAACTCTGGAACTTCAATGATGGATACTGTTAGTAACCTGATGGGGACACTGCATGTAGCCTTTTCAGTCAGCTTGGCAACCAAGATTTTAGTGGGCCATTAAAGAGGACTAATGCGTGAAGGAAAAGTTTCAAACAATACTGATTTAGAAAAAGGAGTGGTTGAACTACCGTGTCCAACCTTCTCTCTTTTGCTTTTTTTTTTTTGCAAAGGCTTCCCTGGAATGTGCTCCACCCTTTGCATAGGGACCTTTTGAACCTCAACAGGGACAGAGTTGAGTGGGGGCAACAGAGAACCTATGGCCTAGGGAACCAAACACATTTGCGAGCTGGTCCTCTGGGTTTTCTGATTCAGAACTAAGGAACTGCACAAACACAGACTCCTTGTACTTTTCGTTCTGACGAAACCCAGCAATCTGCTCACATGCAAAGCCAACTGCAGCTGAGCCCAAACTCACAGGCAGAAAAGAACACCAGTTGCCAATAGAAAAGACCCAGATGCCAATAGACACAAGCTTCTGCTGCGGTGGGGTTGATGCAGCCCCCCCCCCATTAGATCAAATGTGCTCTCTTTCCCAAACACAAAGAGTATGTGGGTGGCTGGAGTGCTCCCAGACAGCTGCTTTCCCCTCCCCGGGTTGGGGCTGGGGAGTCTAAATGCAGCTCTTAGAAGCAGGGGCCCCCTTTCACCCTCCTTCAGGTGTTCCTTCTTCTCTCCGTTGTCAAAAACAGCAGCCCACACTTTGATCCCTAGCTCTTGGTGGGTCTTTTACTGGGAACCAGTGAACTCAGAATCCATAGGGCTGAAAGGTTTCAATTGTTTCTCAGGTGCCTGGTGCTGTTCAAAGCGGTTGGGAGCCGGTGCCTTGAAAGCTGCACGGATAGGGAACTCTTAAATGCTGGGTCTGGCCGTTTTACACGGAGCTGCTAATAGCCATCCTCTCTGGTGGGACAAGTTACTGTGATTACTGGCTTGACTCATTCAAGTCTTTAGTAAAGCCTGCATTCCTCCTGAAATAATTAAGCCTCAATTTCAACAAACTGCATGTACTACGGGTCTTCTAGCCACTTTTTGAAGTTAGCAAGATGAATGAATTTGATGTTTCTCCCCTTGAATGTTGCCTCTTCTAACCTTCTGAGCCCCCCCCCCATATTCTGATCATTTATCCTGTTTTCTCTGCCCTTATAAGCTACTATCAGATAAGCTTGCACTTATTTGAATAATACCTTCTCTCCATCCCTACAAGCCTGGGTTCTCAGAGCATACTTATCGAATGAATTTAGCACGTGAATCATTGTCTTTCTACTGTTCAGTCCAAGCTAAAGAAGAGTCAAAATGAACTCAACCAAGACGAGAACTAGGGGACAAGGGAAGTCTAAAACCTCTAAAACCTCTAATCTGAGGTAACCAGGGAACACCAGCAAACCATTGCAAAATCGCAGGCACTGGCCCAGGGACATTATGGCCCTTCCAGAATACTGAGTCAAGACCGGCCTTGCGATTTCCTCCCAGCATGCACATTAAGTGTAGAATACCAAATGAGACAATGGATGATATGAATGGTCTCCACGAGGTTATCCTCAGGGAACCCCGATTCCACAGATTCAAGCTGCCTTAAAAAGCACAGCTCCAAGCCGGGCGGTGGTGGCACACGCCTTTAATCCCAGCACTCGGGAGGCAGAGGCAGGCGGATCTCTGTGAGTTTGAGGCCAGGCTGGACCAACAGCCTCCAAAACAATACAGAGAAACCCTGTCTCGTAAAACCAAAAAAAAAAAAGCGCAGCTCCAGATTCTGCAGATACGGTGTCCTACAGGGATCACAAAGCCCTTTCTATATAATCCCGCAAAAAAACTGTCATGAGGCCATGGGGTGAGCACTCAGAAGGGATTGCCATCAAAGGTGGGTGCTGGCTTAGACTTGATCTGGGACAGTTTCTTTTCTCATCTAGTAGAGGGAGGACAGGGGGATGGAGTGGGTGTGGAGGAATAAATTCATGGCAGATAAAGAAAAGCAAGGTATGGAGTAATAAAAAAACTTAACAGCAGGGACAAAGGAGAGATTAACTTCTGCATCTGCGTTTAGTTGCATCTGTTAATGATACTGTGTTTCATGAGTCACTGTACTGCAATTGAAGTGAGACTTTTGTGTAAAAGACCCTCGAGTCCGTGATACCTGATGTGTGGGTAGGTTCTTTCCAGAACTAGTCTTACCTAAGGAAAAAAACAAACACCCAGAGGACCAACCTCTTTAGAAGCTAATGTGGGCACTGTACTTCTGAGTTGACAAGATCAACTTGACTTTTCCACTCGACAAAAAAAGATTGTGGTAGGTCTGAGATAGCAAAAAGGGGGGTGGGCAAATTCTCTTCCAGGCAACGGATGCCAGGTACATGACATCAAGCAAACACCGAGGAGTGACTCAGAAGGCATGAGTTACAGGCGGCCCACGTATCCTTCCAGTGACAACTGCTTATAAACTGCTTATGACTCTCATGACAGGTGTTTGTGTTCCAGTATGGGACGGCCACCTGTGACGCTTTTAAAAGAGACCAAGTCGGCCCCTCCTCTGTGGGTTTAAAAATGTCCCTGCTGTCATCCCTATGTGAGGATTAGTTGTCTGGGGCCTCACTGGGGTAGGTATGGGATGTTAAGGGGCGATTCTTGTCTTCTGAGAGACTGCTCTGGGCTTTGGCAAACTTCACAAGCCACCGATTCTTGTGGAGCCAGCCATGGGACTGTAAGACTTGAGAGCACCGTCCGAGGCTGTACTCACCGTGGGGACATTCTCAAGCGCTTTCAGGTCCTCTTTGGGCTTCTTTACGGAACCACTGTCCTCTGGGGTGCTTGCCCTCTTTGTTCCTCGGTCTCCAGCTGTCTCCTTGCTTCCGTTCTTTGCCTCTTGCCTTTCCGGTGCTGGCTGCAGGCTTCCGGGTCTGCAGGAGGCGCCAGGCTTTTCGGCATCTGGGGTGGTCCTCTCAGTGGGGGCATCTGTAGGGTCTTTGGATCCGGTAGCATTAGAGGAGTGGGTGGGGCAGACTGTTGGGCTCAGGCCATGGGGTGGTGTCAGCATTTGGGCTTGGGCGGGTTGCAAGTAGATGGCATAGGATTGGCCCGAGGGGGCCTGAGGTAGGATCACAGGCACTGCAGGTGATAACGGGCTAGGGATGAGGGGGACCACCCCCAGGGGCTGGATGAGGGAGGGCGCAGCCAGTTCCAGCTCAGTGTTCCCTGCAGGGTCCAGAGGGGCCAGGGGCTTGTAGTGCCCAGATCTTGCTAGCTTCACCTTCACCTTCTTCCTGGGTTCACTGGAAGAAAAGATTTATTTATTTATAAACAGGGTTTCTCTGTGTTGTTTTGGAGCCTGTCCTGGAACTCGCTTGGTAGACCAGGCTTGGTCTCGAACTCACAGAGATCCATTCAACCTGCCTCTGCCTCCCGAGTGCTAGGATTAAAGGTGTGCACAACCACCACCCAGCGGAAGTAAAGATTTATGGGGCATCACAGCACCGCACTGCTCTTAAGCAGTCTATCTGCGTGCACGTGCGTGCGTGCGTGCGTGTGTGCATGCGTGCGTGTGTGTGTGTGTGTGTGTGTGTGTGTGTGTGTGTGAACACGCATACATGTGGAGGCCAGGGGGCTGACATGAGACATTTTCCTCGGTGATTCTCACCTTTTCAGTGGGCCTGGAGCTCATCGGTTTAGCTGGGTCCACCAGCCGATAAGCTCTAGGGATCATTCAGTGGCCATAACTGGAGTTAAAGATGGGTGCTGCTATCAATTTAGCTGAGGTGGCCAGCCAGTGAGCTCCAGGGAAGGTGACACCTTTACTTTGGAACTAAAAATGGGGGACTGCCGTTCCTGGCCTTTTCTGCGGGCAGTAGGGAACTAAACTCAGGTCCCTCATGTTTGAGCAGTGGCACCTTCGCCACCAAACCGTAGCCCAGCCCCTCAGTCTACCGCTTTTTGCTCCAGGTTAAAGACACACTTTTATGAAAACAGCGGCAGTTTTGTTTTGTGTTTTAAATGACCGAGGACAGATTTTTTTTTTTTTTTTTTTTTGGTTTTTACGAGACAGGGTTTCTCTGTATTGTTTTGGAGGCTGTCGGTCCAGCCTGGCCTCGAACTCACAGAGATCCGCCTGCCTCTGCCTCCCGAGTGCTGGGATTAAAGGCGTGCGCCACCACCGCCCGGCCCGAGGACAGATATTTTAAAGACTGTCTCTCGTGTGATGCTTATCCTTGCGCAGAGCAGTCAGTTCTAACGACACACACCGAGACAGCAATCCACCCTGTTTCCAGCTGCAACGCCAGCCTACCTTGACTGCTCTTCCAACTGCATCTTGCAAATAGCAGCGAGCTGAGCCATCTTGTTTGGGAAGGGTGGAGAATTCTGAGAACTTTCGGCTGGCAAAATAGAAAGCAGAGGGACGATGGTCACAGCCACAGATTAAGTTGTTTGCTTGGGAAGAAGACGCAGGTGTCAAAGGGACAGAGAGCATCCATCTGCTGCCTAGTTATACGGCAATTAAACATAAAGTGCTTCTTATCCTTAATTCACTTAGAAGCTAGACTTGTGAGGGATCAGGCAGACCAAAAGGAAGCAGATCAAAGGTAATTCTGAACAGAGGCTTGCCTTGCCAGGAAAACATACCTTTGTTGCTCTTGATGGGGCTGCTGGGAGCAGAACTGATCTTTCTCCGATCGCTTTCTATACTTTTTACCAATTTGATAAGGGATGGGTGTCGAGTGAAGCTGGGTTTTCCCCGTGTAGAAAACAGGTTTTTGGCACAGTTCTCTTTTGCAGACTGCTCCACCTCTAAGAAGGAGGTGGCAAGAGGCATGACTGGACTGGAGCCTGAAATGGAAAAGGCCGGTGTGTTAAAGCCCAGATGATCTGCTCCCTTCTAACAGAGGGAATCAAAACGCAGCCCTAAAACCACGTCAGGGATAAAGGGTAACAGCACAGAGTGCCTACTGTGTATCTGGAGCCTCATTCAGCGCACAGCTGGCCCTCCACACTGGAGGACTTGTCCCATAATCCCTCTTGCATGCCAAAAGCTGCAGAAGCTCAAGTCCCTTACATACAACAGCACGCGCATGCACAGAAGCTAAACACATCCTCCCGTCTATGCTAAATCATCTCTTGGGTTCCTGGAATACCTAATATAATGTCCATGGCTTACAAACATCGTCACGTGATATTATTTAGGGGATAGCAACCAGAAAACATTTACACCTGCTTGATACAGACCAAAAAAACATTTCCATTCCACGGCTGAACCCCTCAACATGAAACCCATGGATATGGAGAGTGGACTGTAACTCATAACCAGAGAAATGCCAGTGTGCATTCCCTACTGATTTTCCTCATTTGGTGCCATATAGAATCTTGCTTATTTTCTCATTGGGAGAGCGTTTGAGCTAGTGGAAGGTGGTGACCGTCATGCCTTCTGCACTTGGGTAGTCCCTCTCAAGAAATGCATCCCGTGATAGATTTGAGAGCACGGTCACAGAAGACACCGGCTAAGGATACACTCATAAATATTGTGGGCCTGGGTTACACAGCTGTCACTAGGGCTCCAAGGCCTCCATTCCAAATTCCTGCACCAAAAGGCCTCTCCCTGAGTGTCCAAAGTCAGAGCAGCCAGCTTCCTTCGTGAGAGAACCATAGTCTTCCCATGGGTGGGGCTAAGTAGGAAGGAGGGGAGACTATCCCTCTAGATTAATAAAAGAAACAACAAATGAAAGAAAACCAAACAACCACCAAACAAACAAACAAACAGAAACACCCTGCATACATACCACCAGTATTTGGGCTGATGTCTGGGCCTGTCCATTTGAAAGCTGGCTTCCGACCTCTTTCTTCTGTAACGTGAACTTTTTTGATGAGATCCAGGCTGCTCAGAACATTAGCAATATCGTACAACCTCCTAATTTTTGCTGGGGGGACAAAAGGCATGAATAGCATTAAATGGAATAATGAAAGATCACAAGGATTTTGTCTCCTAAAAAGTCAGGTATACTCAAGAGCTACCTTGCCAGTATTAGGCAGGGTCTCCCTCCCGACTCTTTTAAGTTATTCTAACAACACCACTTGAATTCAAACAAAAAACGAGTTTTCCCCCAGGAATTCCGCAAATGACCCCTTCTGCAGCTCCTGGAATAGCTTCCAAGGCTATGACTGACCAGTGACAGGGTCGAGCTGAACAGCACCTGGTGACTCAGAAAAGCAGCGACCCATTGGCAGTGTTAGGATGCGTAGTCTCAAATTGTACTTTTCCCAGGCACTGCCAGAGTTACTGCCTTACTCGCTCCTTAGTTCTATCTCGTAGATGCACTACCAAACCAGGGATGTCTGGACCTAACTTCTACATGCTAGTACAGCTTCACAGAGTACGGCATCTCAGGGCATCTACGCCTTATATACAGCTGGTTCCCTGAGTAGCTCACATCTGAGTTATCCTCCAGGGGAGACAATCGTGTGGAAGGTCGCTCTTGTCTGCTCTGCTCTTTCCTCCATACCTTTGCCTGTGAAGGTTCCCTATGGTGTCTGGCAGGACCGTGGGAACAGAGATGGTTCAGAACCAGCTGAATCCGCAGCAGCCATCTGGCTAAAACTGTTTCAAAGTAGCAAGCCATCTGCGTTGCAGGGCCATCAGGGGACAATTTGGTGGGAATTATTTATGCCATCACTCTCAGTATTAGTGGACAGATGAGATCTAGGAGCTGGACCTACTTTGCACCTGATTGCTCATTTAAGCTCTGGGAGCGTCTGCTGTGTAAAATGGGGAGAGAGTTACAGTATCGGATGGTGCCACGGTGTCGGGCCAGTAAGAAGGCTTAGAAGCAGCAGCAGCATCACCACTGTGGAGAGGATGAACATAGACACGCCTGATCAAACGGTAGGGGAAGCTTTGTTGTTCGCGGATGGATCCCAGACCTCCTGGGCAGTTGTGACACTTACTTTTAAACTTGCTTTTATCCAGATCTTCCACATGGTCCTCCCCAATTAAAATCTTGGCAGCAATTTCTAGGCTTACTATCTGAGGCGTCGACACCAAGAACAGCATCACAAACTTCTGGCTCATCACTCGCAAGGACTTGTCTTTGCGGCTGTTTACCGATGCTTCCGAGAAGGACAGGGATTGCAGAATTAACGGTCAAGAAGGGAAAAGCAACAAGCCTTAAAAATAGCGCCACTGGACCATCCAGCCGACAGCCGTGGCGTTCCCAGCATTAAAACCTCAGCGCTAGGGGACGAGAGGACCACCAGGAACCCAAAGCCAGACTGGGCTACAGAGACCTCGACTCACCCCAAGCCTAACCCTACTCAACCCCAAAACAAGTCATGGTAGCGGCAGAGTAGCAGCCTCCAGGGCATTTTTTTTTTTTTTTTTAGAAATCACCTCTCACCTGCCCGGAATTCCACTCCAGGGAGTTCTACGAAACACATGTCTGAGTGCCCATTCTGGCCAGTGTTGGACTTGATCACGTGGTCCTCTACGCCACAGCTCTTAATGAAGTCAAACTCTTGCTCATACTCTTTCCTTTTGATCATCATGATCTGCTCAGCATACTTGTTCTCCTCTCCGACGCTCTTCAGGGTCCCCAGAGTTTTGGTGAGATTGTGCCGGCCATGCCACGTGTACCTGTTTTTGGCAAGGCGGCTCACCATGTGCAGGCTCTCCAGTACATTCACAATGTCATAAATCCGTCGACGTTCGACATCTGCAAAGAGCACATGCTGGTGTGTTACCGGGATCAGACTTTCACGGTTGTGCTGGCCGGCGGCCGCACCTCAGTAACAAGGTAATGCTCGCCGTGTGCGAGCACTGTGGGGGCGAGAGAGACATGGCTCCCTCACGGGGAGGAATGAGCTTGCTTGAGATACAGTCACCGTCTACTGAGGGGTGTAAATTGCATCACTGGGGACAGTTATACACTACCGTGTCCGGTGGCCTTTGTCACCAGCACTTGACTGGCGAGGACACAGAGGTCCAGACTTGCCTCAGTGGTATCGAGGAAGCGGCAAGGCCACGCCTCTGGTATCTGCCTGCCACCATTCAGAACCCATTCCTTTACTCCCCTCCTTGTGCCCGCACCTGCCTGCCATCTTCATATCACAGGCATAAAGCGCTAAGATCTGGGGCCAGAGACAGCTCAGTGGTTAAGGACGCTTGCTGTTCTACCAGAGAAACAGAACCAGAGTTCAGTTCCCAGCACCCATAATCGGGTGACTCATAACCACCTGTAGCTCTGGCATTCAACATTCTTTTCTGGGCTCCAAGACCCAACACACACACACACACACACACACACACACACACACACACACTCCTTATTAAAGTGCTGAGATCTCAGACAAGTATAAAAACCATGATGTCATTTCTTGAAAAACCTGCATTAGAAAACAAAACAAAACAAACAAACAAAAAGAAGCAGAAAGGTACATGCCTTTGGGGTCTAATTTGACCCATGTTCTGCCTACCACCAGAAATGGTGAGACTAGCAATTCCGTGGCTCTCGTAAATCCACAAGGGGTTTCGGTGTTCCCCATGGTGAGAGTCTCTTTATTTCATAAATTTACCTTCACTGCTGCTTTTCACATCTATACTGGACACAATCTCTCCTCTCTGGATAGAGCACCCCCTAGCGGCCTCTTGCTGTTCCTGGCGACTGTCAAGTGAGACCCAGCACAGAGGGTTGTACTATGCTTGGGTTGTTCCTTCTCCCTGATGCCCTCAAGCCTCTGCTTGGCGCCCTTCTCCCAGGCCCTGGATGTGGGCTTCCCAGCAAGGCCCGATGTGAGTCCTTAGTTTATGGTCAGAAAGCAGTGCTCCCACACGCCCATCCTTTCACGACGTTCTAGATCTCCCTGCTCCCTTTCTGTGGCATGTATTGCCTGACACACACAGTCAGTCTCTACCGTGTCCTTTGCTCTGTAACCACTGCTCCACTAAAGACAGGTCCCACTGGGAAGGGAATCTTGTCCTTCTTGTTCAAGCTCCTGTGGCTGAGTCAGAGTACGTACACACACACACACACACACACACACACACACACACACACACACAGACAGAGTGTATGTGAAGAACAGATGCATAGCATTAAGTCATGAATTAAGATTCCTGCTTAGAAAGGTAATCTTCTCCTTTATGGATTGATAGCTCCACATTCAAACACTATCCTAAACACATTTCTGCAAGTTTTTAGATTGAGATGCTTTCAGGCTGAGACGGCTCCACTGGGAAAGTGGCAGTCTGAGTCTGATCCCCACCCCGGCACCCAGCACCCAAGGGAAAAGCCAACCTCGCTCAAGTGGTGAGCCTCAGATCCCAGCGACACCCATTCTCAGAAACCAAGGTGATGGTTCCTAAGGGAAGACACCCAAAGTTCACCACTGGCCCCATGTGTACACCATACTCTCTCTCTCTCTCTCTCTCTCTCTCTCTCTCATACACACACACACACACATACACAAAAAGATAGTTTAATGACTTCAAAGACACCCGAAATTTGCCAGGCTCCTTTTTAGCTCTAGAATCAGGTCTACCCAGGGCAGCAAAGAGGGGAGAACACCCCAAAGACAAAATAACCCTAAACCCACTGTCCTCAGTCCCAAATGGCTGACAGGCAGAGTCACAGAAGCCATCTCTCAGTGCCACTAAGGGCATACTGGCTCCTCAAGGACAGGGCCAAGGTGCAGGCCAGAGTCGTGGCAGTGTGTGACACAAGTCATAAAATACTACTTCCTTCCTGTACAGCTTCAGAGACAACCTGAACCAGGAAATACTCTCCATCACCATTTGTCTGTTCCTAAGACCGACTCATTCTTAAATTACTGGGGCCTCTAAGACTTCTAATTTCCATGTGGCTCTATTTGAATCTGTGATAATGTGGCTATGTGAGCTCAGGTCTGGCAACCAGCGTACTTACTGAGCTCTTCGGCCACCTCGTCCAGGCAGATGTCATTATTCACAGCAGGGTTGGGGTACTTAGGGTACCGCGCCAGGAACTTGTGGCACAGCAACCCCAAGCTTTTCTCTTTCCGACTCGGCTGGGACTTCTCAAATTCGTCTCCAGATAAGTGTTCCTGCAAAGGGAAGAGGTAAATAATTAATGTCTCATTCAGAAAAAGAAAGTTTGATGGATTTATTGGGGGCATCTGGGCTAGATGACTAATACCCCTTACTCACACACGCGCGTGCACACACACACACACACACACACACACACACACACACACACACACTCAGAGAGAGAGAGTTCAGAGCACTTCAAGGTTGGGGATGGAATAAGAATGGTCTCAGAGAGAAGCCGGAGATGCAGATCACCTACCAAGGGTACAGACTCTTTCCATGCCTAGCAGGTCAGCTGGCTCCTGATTGCTTGACCCTCCATGTTTACCACCCCTCTCCCAACAAGCCCCGGGCTTACATCCAGTTCCTTATAAACCTACGTGCAAACAGTCTCTAGCTTCAGGTAATCCACGGTTGTCTGACAGCCCCCTTTTCTGATCTCGACTTCGGATCTCTGGGCTCACCGCACTGATGAGCATTTTCAGGTTGGCCGTGGGTGTCCATGGCTCTCCTTGGCAAACTTCCTTGGGCTTGGTTGGCGTGGTTAAAGGGCCCAGGTCAGGCTGGATCTCAGCCAATACTATGTTGGCCTTCGAGGACTCTTGCAGGGGGCTTTTCATCAGTCCCCTTTTATGTGGCTCAGAAAAGAGGTTTTCCTGGTTTGGAAGGAAGTAACAGCTGAGTTCATTGTAACAGAGAACCTATCAGAGAGCTTTCTGACTTTAAAATCTGCACAAGTAGGTTAAATGAAGTATATTGACAGCACTTTTCCTTTTACGTTTGAGACAAGGTCTTAGGCCCAACAGTCTGGAACTTACTACATAGCAATAAACTGACCTTGACTGTACAATCCTCCTGCCTCAGCCTCTAAAGTGCTGTGATTAAGGCATGTACCCACTATCCCTCGCTGTTACTGCCCATTTTAATAATGAAAATTCCCACTTTTAATTTGGCAGAAACCATGTATCTAAATGTCTTTGTGACCCAAGAATTTAAGTAAATAAATAACTTTAACTGCAGGCTTTGATTTTAAATTTTATTTTGAAGTAGGAGAGTTGTAAAGACAGCTTATAGCTCGCACCCTCTCCTTACTAGAACTGATCCCTCTAAGTGGCCTAAATTCCTAGAAGCAGCCTCTACCCATGCCAAGGAAAGGCCTTCAGGCCCCAAACCATTCTCCACTCAGTGGAGTGGCTGTACGCAGTGTGTGTTCACAGACACACCACTGCCCAGGAATTGCAGCAAAAGTGACCGTGCCCTTATGGCTATGCTTATCAGGGAAGGGCCTCATGCCTACCAGCAAGACTTTTGACCGGAAAAAAAAATCTGCTTTCAACATTGACTCTTGAGGCACAGATACACAAAATTAGCCTAGATCCTGCTTAGGAGACACAGTGTGGTAAGCAGTTCGTAGGGCTAGTGAAGACAGGAGCTTTCACTTCGGGGACTGCATCTTCGAAAAGAATGTACTTGGGAGGCAACAACTCAGAGAACAGAGGTACCCACTGTTCCCTTGGTAACTTTCAGGAATGTGGTTTAAAAATCCTCTATGACATGACCATGAAACTAAGGGCTTATCAAGCACTTTCCAGTGTGTATTTCTGCTGAATCAGCCGTTGCTACTTAGCAGAAGAGGTCATACAGGGCTAACACCTGCATTTTCTCAGTTCAATATGGTTGGTGCCCTCAGGAGGTGCTGACCCCAAGGTTGGGGGCTTCAGTGAAAATTGCCAGGAACAGGATTTAACTAACATCTAAAATCTTTAGGGAAATGTATATATGAAGTCACCTTTTTTTTTTAAAGGAACACCAATCCACACAATCCCACTGTCAAAGTCTTTCGTAATTTTACAAAATACACAGATATCATACACAGATAGCAATTTAAAAGGTTGACAGCTTAGAATGTTATTTTACAAAGAAAAACAATATTAAATTATGTCCTCTCTAAATTCCAGTGGTTCAAGCAAAGGGTGTAATACAACATATAAATGTTATTTTTTTATATATTAAAAAAATACCTTCCCCTGTGTATGTGAAGCCTACACTAAACTATTGAAACAGAAAGGTTACTTTAACCCTGGACATCCCTATTCCTTCAAAAATTAAAATTTCCTTTTGGATTTCTGTAACAGTCAACCAAAATGGGACAACATTCACGGCACTATCAAAGGAAAAACCTAAAGCATTACTTATACTGCAACAGTGTAGGTTGAACTTTAAAAATACCTTTTGGTTCTCCATTTTGTCAACTTCTCATACATTTAGTGTGCCTTTAAAAACGAAAAATCTGAAGATCCTCCCCAAATTCAAGTGGTTCAAGTAGTCCAACCGATCCTATTAAAGTTTTTTAATATCCTTAAAGGAAAAAAAGGAAAAAGAGACATAAGATCTGCTGAAAATGCATTCATGAACAGAGGAGACCCCGGAAACAAAGAAACGAAAAATGACAAACCAGGTTTATATTTGCCCCCTCGAGGAAAGACTGCGCCTCTAAGGCAGACCACGCCAACAGACAGCAGTAAATTCCTCCATCAAACCCATCTCCTGTCACGAGACTTCAAGCAAACACAGAATCTGCAGTGACAGTCCTCTCTCCCGTTCAAAGATAGCTGTAGCAAGTACCCACCTGCACACCAATCTGGGCCGCGGACGGAGCGTACGAGCCCGGGTACCGACTGAGCACGCACCGAGCCTGCATCGGGGGAGATGCTGAAGTTTTTCGCCTGACACACACGTGCACAGGCTCAGAAGGAAAGACTTGGGAAATGGCCTGAGAGCAACTCCCCAATTCAGCCTTGGCGCTCTAAACGCACGATGGGGCATTTACAGAGAGCTTTGGGATTCGGACCCCCTCTCCTCTTTTAGAGTTCTTCAAACGTGCGCAGCACTGCAGGTGGCGGTGGGGATCTCCCTAGGTGCCCAGATCACCGCGTTGCACAGGGACTCGGTAAGCTGCGCTCCCAGCCAGGTACAGTCCCCAGTGGTCGCCCGCTTCCCGCCGGGCGCACGCACTGGCTCCTCCTCCCCGAAAGCACTCCGCCCCCGGGGGGGCCCGCCAGACAGCATCCCACGGTTTCCAGGGCGACGGCTCCCAGCCAATCAGAAAACCCATCGCCGGCCTGCCATTGGCTAGAGGTCCCCAGGGCGGGGCCGGACCTTCCGCCTTCGATTTAAAAATTTGGCGCGGAAAGCAGGCCCGTGGCTGGCACCGCCCCCGAGGGCGCGGGGCTGGAGCGCGGACGAGCCCCTCCCCCGCCCTCTGCGCGGGAGCTCGGCTCCTCCCCACGGGCCCCGGCTGGGCGGGAGGCGGGAAACGGCCGCCTTCACCCTACCCCGCCCGGGATCCCGCAGCCCCCGCCGCGCCTGTCAGCTCCCCGCTCACCTGTCAATCCTCCTCCGGGGCTGGCGGCTCGGGGCGGCCCGGGCTCCTGGCTCCGCGTCCCCGCCGGTCCCAGGAGCCCGCGCGTCTCAGGGAGACTCGCTCAGCCCCGCGGCGCAGAGGTGGGTGCCCGGGGACGGCACCGGGGCCAGGACTGGGGAGGGGGCGGCGGGCGGGCGGGTGGGTCGTGGGAGCGTGACCGTCCCGGAGCAGTCCAGCCCCCGATTTGAAATTAACCCGCTCCCGGCGCGAGCCGCTCCCGCGGGCGCGGAGCCTCCCCTCCCCCACGCCCCGCTCTCTCGGCCCCCGGGCCCCCGCGCGCCAATCGGCGCCTCGCCACGGCCGCCGCGGCGAATCAGGCTGCAGGCACCGCCCTCCGACCCCGCCTGCCGCCAGGCTTGGGGGGGAAAAAAGTCCTCAAAAACTTTTCCTTTTTTTTTCCTTTTTTTTTTTTTTTTTTTTTTTTGCAAACACCCTTTATCCGAGATCGAAGTTGGGGGATGAAAGTCTGGCTTGTCCTGGCTGGCCAGGGCACGCGGGCTCCCCGCCGTCCCCAGCTTGGGGCCGTGTCAACCGGTGCACAGCCCTGGGAAGATCGGCTCACCTGCCCTCTGGTCCCCAGCGGGACCCTTCCCACTGCCACTCTTCAGGACTGCTCGGCTTCTGCCCCCGCGCTCTCCAGGACGAGTGAGGAGGAAGGAGCTTCGATGTCCGAAGCTGACGGACGCGGGGCGTTGGCCGATCGCTGAACCCACAGGTGTGGGTCAAGGCGCAGTAACGCGGGAAACCCGCCCAGCCCGTCCCCAGCGTCCCGCGCCTTCTTTTCCCTTCTCTTTGCTCTTCCCTCGCCTTTCCCGCTTTCCCTTTACGAGCCTGGGACATCGGCCCGGTGTGTCGTACAGGTCTCGCCAACTTCAAACTTAGAAGCCCCTCACGTTCAAAACCCTTATTTTGCAGAAGTGGAAACCGAAGCCCGGCTCCCTAGCGCTGCCTTTCCGTACCCGAGTTTTGTTTTTTGTTTGTTTGTTTTTTTAACCCGCCTTTGCCTTACAACGTTTCCCCTTTTCTGATTACTCCTGGGCCGTCTGGACCGCATGTTGCCTTACCCCTTTCCACGTAAGACTGTGGTTTGGGCTTTTTCCACTCTTTATTTTGTGTCTTCGGCTTCAGAAGGGCTCAGGTCCACTCTTAAGTTTCGTCACTCAGGTTGGACATCAGTGAAAAGCATCCATTGCTGACTCCAAGGGAAATACTGTGTTTTCCTTAGGTGGTTAGGGAGGGCAGCGGTTGAAGTAATGCCACTGCGGGATCCGGGAGCCCAGGCAAGGTACACTGGGCCAGGGTCTAGGTAGTCAGGGTTCGTCTTCCTGAGCAAGGTAAGCACAGGGTGGCCTCCAAGACACCGTTGCATCTTCGTGCCTCTGTCCAATTCTAGTAGCTGTCAGAAGTGCGGGCCCAGGGGTCACCCAAGTAACCCGCAAACCAGGATTGGGTCCAAATGCCCGGGTGCTGTGCAGAAGGGGCTGGCTAGCCTGTATCCTCAGATGTGGATGTAAAATGCCCAGTCGCTAGGCAGGGCAGGATGCTCACGAGACAGATACATCTTACTGAGCCCAGGTACACCTTTTTAGAGCACAAGGTTTAAACATATCACGGAAGTAGTGTGTGGGTTTCTGCCAGGTTACCTCTCACCCTTCAGTGCAGTGCTTAGGGCCCCAAAGGATTAAGTGATGTCCAGTTTATATCTAGAGCCAGAATCAAAACTCAGGTTTCTCTGTTGTCACTTCATTTTTCCCAGTGTACTACCTTAGAAATTTTTCAGGGCAGAGAAGTCACTGACTTGTAGGCCAGGCCACAGCCATTTCACAGCAGGAGAGGCAACATAATGTAATTCTTGTTTAACGGTGGCTGTTGTGTCAGTTATAGTCAAACTCATGAAGCAGGACGAAGAGAGGTTTGGAGTCTTGATGACCCTGTCAGTCATGAGACTTGGGAAAGGAAGCAAGAATCTGGGGATTTAGCCCCCGGCAGAGTGACGACTTAACACACACAAGGCCTCAAGGTTCATCTTCAGCATCGTGTGCGCAAGTCTAGTGTGTCTACTTGAAGTTCGACATGATTATAAAGGAACGATAACTACAGAAAACCTTCATGCTTGCTGCTCGAACATGAAGGGCCAGAGGACAAACTTGAAGTCATTTTTCTTACTTTCCCTTCAAATATAGTTTTCTGGTTATTGGTTATATACTCCAAGAAGATTTTCATGCTTGTGTGTCTGGTCATCTGTGTTGCATAATAGCCCATATCTCACTGAGTTCGGCCAGTTTTTCTGCTCTGCTGTCATCCTTCTGGATTGCACAACTGTGAGGGTTGCGCAACATACTCAGCAATAAATAAGGTATTATGAAAAAAGATATCAAAGGTGGGGGGATGGTAGGTGTCAGCTGAGGTCCCTAGATTCAAAGGTAACCTTTGGGGTTTCTGAATCAGGTCCCATCAGATCCGATTATCGATGAGTGAGAGGAGCAGACAAGCCCTTCCCCATGCCTGGGATAGGATGAGGGACTAAGGAAAAGCTTTTTTTTTTTTTTCCTGTTGGTGGGTTCTGAGACTTTTGTGTCTCTCACACACACACACCCACCTCCCAGGTGCTTTTGTGACCAGCTGACTCAGTGTGGAGATTGGGATTTAGACTTTGTCATATGCGTTGGTATACCCACCCTAAACCAGCTGTTGGGAACACTAAACAAATCACCACAGCTGTTCACAACCAGATCTCAGCCTTCTCCTGTCTCTTGAACAAGGTGGTTACTCTTACTGTCAGGACTCAAACGGAAAGAGTTTCAGAGAATGAACAGGAAGGAAGGAGCAAGGGACCTGGGAGATGGGAGGGCACTGGCCTTGCTGGCTGTGGAGCAGGGCTTGGGCAGGGCTTGTCCTACTTATTATACTTGCTATGGGCAGCTCCTCCTGAGGCCTGGGCCCATATTGCTAGGGCCTCAATTGCAGCAGCTGCCATTGCTGCTGTTTATTGAGCAACAACTGTCCCTACATTTCTAAAATACCTTGAGGAAACAACATAAAATACCAAGGGCCCCTTGATAGAACCGGAGTCTGAATTCTGTCACTGGGTGAGTGTGTGTAGGCTCTAAGGCTGTTACAGAGCTGAGGTCACGTCCTCCTGTGCTTAGCAGGAGGTTGAAAGGACAGAGCTTTCCCGGTTCCAGGACACTGCAGAAGCATGTGTATGGGTTCCGGGGAGCAGAGGCGGGGATTGGTCACACATAAAAAGTCCTAACCAGAGCAGAACCCTGTAGCCTCCCTGATGAGCCATTGCTTTGCTTCCTCAGAGTCTGGTGGGGAGGAACATCTACGTGGATTCCCACCCCTAGGCAGATGCCTCACATCCTGTTAGTGAAAAGCCTTAACCCTACACTTGCCACTCCTCCCCCTGACCCCACTGTGTCCTCCCAGGGAGCAAGCAAGAGGCCTCTGTCCTCACTTGGTCTCCCCAGCATCTAGCCAGGAGCCAGGCCCAAGAAAGGGGCTTGGTGAATGTTGGCTGGTTAAGGTTCTACCTTAGAATGTTTTCCCACCAAGTAGGGAGGGGACTTTTTTTTTTCTTCCCTCATCTCATCGCCTGCAGCGCCAAGTCCAACTGTGAACGCACACTGAGTCTCTATCCAGTGAGAACAGTGGCTCTTCTAATGACCTCCTGCTTATAAAGAGAGGACGCGTGTGTGTGCACACGCCTTAGCTTCGGGATGAACTGGCTCTCCTTGGGTCCCAACACGAAAGCCAGCTCCATTTACTCACGGCCTTCTCTTTCTCTTTTCCCTTCCAGGATTGTGAACCTGTTTTGTACAAATCGGCTGCTTATCTGAGAAGCTGTGGCTTCTGAGTCACTGGCGGAGGCTCTGCCCCTGCCCCTCCTGGAGTGGCTGCTCACACTAGCATGAACGGGGCTGTTCTCTCTGGCCTTGGAGCTGCGGAGGGAGAGCAGGCTCCGATGATCACGGCCCTTCCCAAATGAGGTTATACTCAGTTACCAGGAGCTTTAACGACCCACTCCTAAACCCTGAGCAGATACCTGCTCACTCCCAAGCCCTTCTGAACACCCCTTTGGGTATGAATTTGAGGATCTGATTTGACTGTCAGCCTCAAAATGTTCAGGTCTGTCGTGGTAGAGTTCTGCTCTTGATCGTATCCCTTTGTCACACGGTAAACAACAGGGACTACCTTACTTCCGTAGACAGAACACTCCAGGTCCTTCTGTTGGAAAATGTTCAGCGAAGGCTCAGTGTGTTTGTCAGTGTGGAAACTGGTCGCAGTAAACTGATGGTCTCCTGGCCACAGTTAGGGATGAACTGCACCTGAGTTTGCCCCCGTGCTTTTGGAATAGGCTGCACTTAGTGACAAAGTCCGTCTTTGGAATAAACTGTCACCGTTTTAATGTTAGTTGAAGTGTGTGCAGCAACATTCCTGGGCTGGGATAGGGCTCAGAGCCAGATGTTTGCCTAGCTGTATGTGGGTCCAGTCACCAGCACCAAAATAATAATTTTATTGATAGAGAAAGATGTTTGCTGGGCTGGCTTACTGTCATTGTGCTGGTCGGACCTTACCGGTATCAGATTGTGGATGGCTGCTTTAGGAGGGACTCACATTTGGAAAGCAAGCATCTTCTAGTCAGTCATCTCTTTGAGATAGACTTGGTGATACTTGAAGTTAGGATGTGGGTCTGGAGTAATGGCTCAGTAGGGAGGGCTTTTGAAGAGGATCTGGGCTCAGCTCCCAACAACTCCAACTCCCAGGGATCAAATGCTTCTGCTTCCAAAGGCATTTGCACTAACATGCACACGCTGCATGCACATGCATGCACAGCACACACACACACACACACACACACACACACACACACACCCACACACTTACAATTAAGAAATAAAGCTTAGGATTTGAAATAAAACAAACCTTGCTTTTAAAGTCCAATATTATTATTGCAACTTTGTAGACTTAAGCAAACACCTCAGGAACCCCACACACACATACACTAAATGGGGAATTAAACTATACCCCTGGAGGGGCCTCATGAGGAGTAGACGAGTTAATGCATGGAAACCAGTACAGTGTTTAGCATATGCTAAGTACTCAACGCGAATATATAGATGTATTTGCCACATGTAATCTAGTCCCAAACAATCCATACACGAGCATATCTGGATTTGTTTTTATTTTTGCACTTTCTCATCACCACAGTGAGATTCCTGGTAGCCGGATACATCGTGCCCATGCAGCTTTGGCCAGGAGATGGATTCTTCTGACTGGCTGCCTCTACATCCTCTGTCCCTTCCCCACCTCCCGGTTCTGTTTGTGGCAGGTGCCCTGAGTTCAGTGCTCATTGTGGGAGGGATGGCCAGTGTCTCAAAGCCTTACAACCAGAGGCCTTACATGGGTGTGGTAAGGACTTAACATCTAGAGATGCCTGAGAAAGATACCCTGAGGAACTCTTGAAGACAAGGTGTTCTTTCTAGAGTCAGTGAGTGGGTTGTAACTTGCCTGGCTCAGCTGTGTGTTGGTCAGTATCCTCCTCTCCTGAGTTTGGGTCTGCCCTCACTCCCAGAACACAAGACACGTACATGCTGCAGAGTTGGAGTCGGTGACTACTCACCAAATGGCTTAGAATGCAGAGATCCCCTCCTCTCGTCCTTACTTCAGTCCCTATCAGGCCTATGGCCTTAGGAAAGCTCCTGACCACTCTGGGCCCCAGCGACCTCCTCTGTGAAAGGGACTTCATCGGTAGTGTGGTAGCCAAGGGGGCATGTGGGAAGTCACTGTTTGGAAGTCTTAGATGCTGTTTGGCGATAAGGAAATAACATTAGCAATTTGCTCGAGTTCCTTCCTAGCTCATTAGTGCCACAGAAGAAGCTAGTGTTCGTGTGGTCGTAGACTGCTCTAAGCTGTGGTTGTCTCTCTGTGACATGAGGAGGCCTGATGACTTAAATCCCTGGACCCTGTTCAGTTCCATGGCGGTGTCAAGCTCCCTTGGGAACTAGAACCCGCTAGGCTCTGAAGCCGGATGCCCAGGGCCCATCTCTGCTTTGTAGGTGGACAGTTTTCTGGCCCTTAGAGGACTTCCTCAGCGCATTCATGACATTTCTCATTTGCTTTTGAGATTATAATTTGATGTCTTTCCGCTAAGCCTTCCCATATAACTCACACCCTACCATCCTTCAAATTCATGGTCTCTTTCTATCAATTGTTATTACATGCATATATTCCCAAAATAACCTGTTGAGTCCATCTAATATTACTTGTGTGCGTGTTTCAGGGCTGACCATCTGTCGGACAACCAATCGGTGTGCTCTTCCCTGAGGAAGGTTACCTTCTGTCTCCTAGTGTCACTCAGCTGCCTGCACTTGTCTGTGTAGGGCTGAGACCTCGTGGGCTTTTCCCCCATGCAGTCTGGCATGTCCATTGATGTCATGACATTTTTTAAAACTAGCAGCTGTTTGACTCAAGTGGGTTATAGCCTGCAGTGAGACGTCAACTGGAGCAGCCGTCTCCAGTGACAAAGGAAAAAAAAGATCTGCTCAAGATTCTTGCCAATAATTTCCCAATTCCAGTGTCCTGTGAAGTAGGTGGCTTGTGTGGAATTTCTGGTGACTAAACCGTTGTGCTTTGAGGGACGGACGGGGTGGAGCGCTGGTCCCCGTGGGTGGGCTTTCAGGGACTGGCAGCAGCCACCTCTCAGGCTGCTCTGGCCCCAGACTCGGGTGTGCAGCTGTGTCAACAGGCCTTTGAAGTGCACATACGCCGGGTGACTGGTCAGCAGCCCCGGGGACTGTCCCCACAGACTCAGTTTCAAGAGATCATAGAAGGCATGTGGGAGGAGGCTTTACCAGAGGGACCGGGAAGGGGACCCTACCCAGACTCGCAGATTCATTCATTCCGCAGGGGCTGCTGCCAGCACTGCCTGCAGGTCCACGCGGTGATCTGGTTTATTTCATTCTGACCCGAGGAAGCAGCGCTTCTCCAAGGCTTAAGTGGAGTGACCTGCTGATGGGTGGCAGGATCCTGGGGGAAAAGTCTTCTGACTCATCAAAATGTGAACAGAACACGAGCAGGGGGACTTTCGCTGTGAGACTTTCTGGTATTCTACATTTCAGGGGATTCTCATGTCTCCTGAGCAGTCTCTCCCATGCGGCAGGCACTGCCACAGGCACTTCACTTCAGCGCCAGCTGGCTTGCTCGTTTGTGTTCATTTGTCCCAGGGAAGGTAGAGGTTCAACCCCCATTTTTTGGAGGCAGCAGAAGCACTGAGGGTTAGAATCTAGGGAGGGAGCAGCTAGTCTCCTCTAGGAAGAACCGAGGGCTAAGTTCAAAACCATGTAGTTATCGCTCCTCCTCCTCCTTCTCTTCCTTCTCCTCCTCCTCTTCTCTCCTCCTCCTCCTTCTCCTCCTCCTCCTTCTCCTCCTCCTCCTGTTCCTCCTCGTCTTCCTCCTCCTTCTCCTCCTCCTCCTCCTCCTGTTCCTCCTCCCCCCCCATCTCTCTCACAGGGTCTTGCTGCAGCCCCCTCCCCCCAGGGAGTGGCCACAGAGTTCCTTATAGCCCAGTGGTCTACTTCTGTGTAGCTCACACTGGCCTCAAACTCACAGCAAGCCTCCTTCATCGGATTCCTGAATACTGGAATTATAGGTGTGCACCGTCACACTGGGGCTATCTTTCCTGCTCTGTACAGCCATCTGGTTACTGAATCACATCCGTTTGTCCTAGCATCCCTGTATCCTGCCCTCATTCTTAACCCCCACTTGCACACTTTCCACCGGTCTGCTCCCTGTGTCACCAGGTTCTCCGTCCTGTCCGCTCACCCTGGCCAGATCCATCTCCCCATAACCCCGTGTACGTGGGCCAGGCACACTGCATGGGGTGGAGTCTTGATACGGACTCCCCTTCCCACTCCTCAAGTTGTCTGAGCTCTTTTCCAGGCTTGCCTGTCCCTTATCTGTGCTAATTTACAGCTCTATCGGTTTTGCTGTTTTGCTTTTAACTTGGGAATCTTTGCTTAGGAAGTATCCTTTCCTAAAATGTTACACACACCCTCCTACCTTCTCTGTTTAGAATCTCCCAGACAGGCTTTAGAGAAATGGTTCTCAGCCTGTGGGGTTGAATGACCCTTTCACAGGGGTTGCATATCGGATATCCTGCACGTCTACATTACAGTTCATAACAGTAGTAAAATCACAGCTATGAAGTATCAATGAAAATGATTTTATGATTGGGGTCACCACAACATGAGGGGCCATATCAAAGGGTCGCAGCATCAGGAAGGTTGAGAAGCACTGCTGTACAACAGCTTCCTCTAGCTGCTGGAACAGTCTTCCTCCTGCATTTTGTAACATTGGAGCAGTACACCTCACATGCTGCTGCAATGTCATTATTTGTATGACAGAGTTAGCTTTATCTCAAAGTGAATATGAGCTGTGTGTCCCAGTGTGTGTGTATGTGTGTGTGTCTCAGTATATGTGTTCCCCAGTTTTTGTGTATTTCTGCTCTCTCTCTCTCTCTCTCTGTGTGTGTGTGTGTGTGTGTCTGTGTGTCCTGTTTGTGTGTCTTAGTATATGTGTTCCCCATTTTTTGTGTATTTCTGGTCTCTCTCTCTCTATGTGTGTGTGTGTGTGTGTGTGTGTGTGTGTGTGTGTGTGTTCCAGTGTGCGTGTATATCAGTTTGATCACTGGCATCGTGAACATGGTGGGCCCTTTTGAAGTGGTTGAACTAATGGCTGGATTCCACAAGTGTTTACTGTGGCTGACAGTTTCCTTAGCCCTGGTAGCAAGCATCACTCCTGGAAGTCTTACAACAGCCTTGACAGGTGGTAGCCCTGTGTCTCGGTGGCAGAAATAGGAAACAACCTAGTCAAAGGTCCCACCACAGTCACCTCTATTAATTTTCTCATTTCTGCAACTAAGCACCTGACTATGCAGAACTTAAGGGAGGAAGGCATTATTGTGGCTCACAGTATGGGGGAGCAGTCCAATGCAGGCATGGCATGGCAGCGGAACATTAATGGCTAGGCACACTGTATGCATAGATAGAGCAGAGAGGATGAATAGTTATTGCTTTCTCTCTCTGCTTCCCCATGGGGCCTCAGTCCATTAGTGTGCCCATCACAGACCAAACACCCAGAGCTGTGTCTCCTAGGTGGCTCCAAATGTAGTGAAGTTACTGTGAAGACTAAACACCTCGCCACCTTTCTAAATGGGGCTCTTTGCCTCTGCATAGAAGGGCCTGGCAAGTCGGTAAGGCATGCACTCAGAACAGCCGCTTCACATTCTCGGTAACCCACATGCATCCCGGGACATTGTAACAAATGAGCAAGATCAAGGACACGGACAGAGTGGGAGTAACCACCCCCAGATGCCTGCAAAATTGAAGCTGGATGAGAAGGGAAGACAGGAA